GAAAGTATGGATTTTTATAAAAAATGCCTTTGTTGGGCATGCACATGTGATTGAACCCACATCAGGATTAAGTTAATTCATGTGCATTGTGTCTTTGCATTGTGTAAGATATCCATCGCAATCAAACGCATTATCTCTTCGGTCAGGATTGTTGTGGTGTGAACGCTATACCATAGTCTGCCAACCCAAGACTACTAAGAAACTGTGAAAAGTTCTAGTAAACGCAAATGCTAGATCAGTTATAACTACCTATTTATATCAAATGAATACATTGGTCAGATGAAAAACAAGGTGGAGTTTAAGTTTTACTGCAAGATCTTTGGACATGCTGTTTTTCTTTCTAGGACATTATCATCATAAATTAAGACAATGGATGCATAAATATTTTGTGTGAACTACAATAAGCAAGATAACAAAGAGTGTGCAAGCTGCTGCTTTTGAGCTTTACAAATTAGTCCCTGTGGGTAATTTAAATAGAGGTATTTATCATTCTCACCATGGATCCAGAGTAAAACTGTTTCAAATGATGTGAGCTCTCCCATAGGAATTGCAATTCAAGTGAAGTAATTGTGCTATTTTTCTCCACAGAGGCTGATCCAGTGCCAGAAATGACTTACGACCTGAAATCCCAGTGTGACGCTATCCGAGTAACCAAGACCGTGCGTCCGTATACCATTGCATGCAGCCCAATAAACGAGAATACGGTTGCTCTGATCATTAGCGATGGACGGGTCATGATATGGGAGCTAAAGTCTAGTGTGCAAGGGAAAAAGATTCGGAATGCCAGGTTGTTCTTAATTTATATTATTTGACAGTCCAAAACAATGTTTTATCATTTTTGTTTTGTGAATCCTGAGAGTGTCCATACACCTTCCAGCGTGCTTTGCCTGTTGCCAAGCTATAAAAAAGTTATATCTATTCTAGCCATAAGTCCCGTATTAACTATTTTGTAGTTAAACTGTTGTGCCCTAACTGGCATTCTCTTTTGAAGCCGACTTATTAGATATGTTTAATTACTATAAACCTTGGCCATAGAAAGGCTACAGAAGAACTTCACTTGGATTGAATTTAAAATATACCAGTGTTATTGGTACCTGTTTCTGAGGTTTGACTGTTAAATAAGCATTATGTATCTCTCATCTTGGCCTCTTTCCCATGATAGTTAACATTCTCTTTTGGTGTATGAAGTTCATCTGCGCAGTGTTTATTCTGGTTTATTAAACTTCAGCTTGTAGGCATAATCAAGTCATTACGTGTCGTTTCACGGAATGCTGCCATTTCGATAAGACGCAGAAGGATTCCCTGCAGCAATCTTTGTTATTATCCTCCTGTATCTCCCTTACAATTACCATATGTTCTGCAGTGGGGTATGGGATGACGAAAAGATATTATTATCTCTGCTAATAATGTGCTTGAAAAAGCCTGACGTTGTGGGCAAATGGGATATTTTTCTCAGCTTGCTCCTTTTCTGTGACAGTTTATAGGTTGTCTGTACATCAGGGTTTGGGCCTGCAGCAGTCCAGGATCTATTAGTCCCAGCATGCACTGGCAGTAGTTGTAGCCTTTGATCAGCGGATGGCACATGCTTTAACTGAGCACTGTTCTCTAATTAATCAATTGAAAGGGAATTCACACAGGTAAAGTAAACCGAGTAAACTAGATTACTGCTGTCCTGCTGAAATGACAAATTCCAGGGCTCCATCTATTCCCTATACCAGTCGGTATTGGCACTCGCAAAATCAAGCAATACCAGAAGTCCTAGGAGCTCTGTCTCGAACTATGGAGGATATGGGTCCTCATGCCATGATATCATGTCTGGCAAAGAACTGGGGTATTTTTAAATGCTGCACTAAAAATATCTATATGGGCAAATTTGCTGGTACCCTTCTACCCCTCAGCCCCCCAATTCTCTCTGAAATAACTCTCAATGGGACTACTGGACCAGGTAGCTTGGCCACTCTTCTTGCTTTACCTTTCTCAGGGTTGAATGGTACCCTCTCCATGAACGATAGAAATCACCAGCACTCCGTAAATTAAATTTTTTTAAAAAGTAAATTTATTTGGACTAAATGTCACATCTCTGCCCTGATGAAGGGACCCTGCGTGGTCCCGAAAGGTTGGATTATGCGATATGTGACGTTTAGTCCAAATAAATTGACTAAACGTCAAATTTCGTTTACGGAGTGCTGGTGATTTCTATCGTTCATTGACTGTTGTACACTGTGCCATCCGTGATTGTCACTGCGAGCACCACTATTTTCACTTGGACCGGAAGCGCTGTAAGAAGTGCAGGGGGACCTACTGTTTTCTGGTACCCTCTCCAGACTACATGTTACTGCTATTTCCATAGATGTTCAATAGGATTTAGATGGGGGCTCACGGAAGGCCATTTCAGAAAAGTCCAATGTTTTGTTCTTAGCCATTCTTGGGTGCTTTTAGTTGAGCGTTTTGGGTCATTATTTTGTTGGAGGGCCCATGAGCTTTCTGACACTGGATAGTATGTTTTGCACCAGAATTCTTTGATAGGCTTGGGATTTCATGGTGTCGTGCACAAAGTCAAGGCACCCCATTCCAGATGCAGCAAAGCAGCCCCAAAATGTAATTGAACCTCCCCCATGTTTCACAGTAGGTATGGTGTTCTTTTCTTTTGAAAGGTGTTTGTTTTTTTCGTCTGTGAACATAGAACTGATTTTTAATTTTTTATTGAATTTGTCTGAAATATGAAGTAGGCACAGCTGACACCAGAGCTGTGTTGTCATATCAGATTGGAAAGTCGGAGGTCATTATATATTCAGTACAATTATTTATGTACTTGCAGCATGTTAAAATAGATAAAACATGGGGAGATGTACATGTGTTCCAGAGATGTACTAAATTTTTTTTTTATGCCTTGACATAAAGCTTTAAGTGTAAGTATAGTCTAAAACATTTTTTTCTGGATAGAGTAGGGAAGGGTTAAAACTGTCAGTGTGTTTTTTGCTGTCTGTCTTACTGGGTTAACTTCCCTTCACTTCCTGTCCCTTAGATGCAGCAGAAAGTGGCAGATAATCTCTCCAAAATAAGGGATTCTCCTCTCCCAAAGATTTACTCTCATCTTCTGTTCTGTGATAACTGTAACATTTCTTACCACTTTCTGTCTCAGGGACAATGGTCATCAAAACAAATATTATTATTATTATTATTATTATTATTATTATTATTATTATTATTAACAATACAATTCAAGACAAGATGGTAAGGAGGGCAAGTAGAGCATTAATCTCTCTAGCTGGCATATACACATCAATAACAACTTAACATGGATTCCATTTTATTCTCCCTATTTTATCCAAAACTATAAACATAGGTTTTGGCGGTAGATATACTTTTATATACCATTATTTTTGAAATATCCACAGTTCCAATGCTTGTGCTTTATATTCACCTTCATCATTCTGTGGGAGACCAGTGGGACCTCTACAAAAAAAATATCCTGATCTCTCTTTGGACAGTGTGATCGGTAAGCGAATCTGCCGTGCCGAATATAAGCCGAGGTACCTAATTTTACCACAAAAAACTGGGAAAAAGTATTGACCCGACTGGACGACGCTGACTCGAGTATAAGCCGAGGGGGGCACTTTTCAGCAAAAAAAATGGGCTGAAAAACTCGGCTTATACTCGAGTATATACAGTAGTCATTAGATATATCCTTATACAGGTGAAACTCGAATAATTAGAATATCGTGCAAAGTTCATTTATTTCACTAATGCAGCTTAAAAGGTGAAACTAATATATGAGATGGACTCATTACATGCAAAGCAAGATAGTTCAAGCCGTGATTTGTCATAATTGTGATGATTATGGCTTACAGCTCATGAAAACCCCAAGAACCCCAAATCCACAACCTCAAAAAAGTAGATTATTACATGCAATCAATAAAACAAGGATTGTACATAGAACAATATCGGACCTCTGAAAAGTACAAGCATGCAGATGTACTCAGTACTTGGTTTGGGCCCCTTTTGCAGCACTTACTTTTTTTTTACTCTAGAATTTTTGCCTGTACCCAAACTATTCTGTTGCTGTTCTCAGCCGTCATTAAAGATGTAAAACTGCAATTGCTGACCTCCTTCAAATGCTTTTTGCCTAGTAATCAAGCTGATCTAGTTGCTTTATTACGGCATCACTGACTTAGAGCAAGCGTGCAGATCAGGAAAGCAGAGTGAAATCAGAACTCTTTATCCTTCATACTTGATCTGGGTCACTGACTTGGCTTGACAGCCATGCAATTAGGGGGTGGGGTTTTTTTTTTTTTTTTTAAAGAGATGCAAACAGTAATTGCAGCTTCCATACATGCCCTGTACAAGGTTTCCTTGAAAGCAGAAAACTCAAAGAATGTTCATTTTTTGCAAACTCATCATAGTATTTTATCATCTTCAGGTGACCCAGGAAACTCACATTGCGCATGAGTAGTAATTAAAAGGACTCATCTGCAGGGGATGCAAGTAGAACCCCTGGGATTGATTTGGAGGGGTTTTTGGTGATGTTATGCTTTTAAGTAAACTTTGAACTGTAACCAGATTAAATTGAATTATGTACTGTGGGGTAGTCTACAGCAGCAAGGTTAATGGATGGTAGTTAAACATGTTGCATTGGGAAACACTTTGGGGGGAATTTATCAAACTGGAGCAGAACGAATCTGGAGCATTTGCCCATGGTAACCAATCAGCTTCTGTCTTCAATTTGTTGAAATGAAACAGAGAAGCTGATTGATTGCAGTGCACAGCTGCTCCAGATTTTGTCTGCTCCAGTTTTGATAAATTCCCCTCTTTGTGCTTCTCTTGTTGGGTTCTTTTCACTCAGTCTTGAATGAATCTTGAATGAAGTGGAGTATACATGGAGGGGTGTGTTTTAGGATATTAAACTGTCTGCTTACTTTGCAGCTGGTCAGAGCATGCTGTCTGGTGATTCTGCTCCATCTGGGAGTCTACTTCAAGAAGTTCACCTTAAGTTCTTGCTGACAGGGCTTCTGTCTGGACTTCCCCAGCCCCCGTTTGTGGTGAGAATGTGTCCTCCCCTCACTACCAAGAATATTACACAGTACAAGCCCCTTCTTGCTGTAGGTAAGTGCACTCATTACATAGAAGAAATTCTACTGGTCATTTCATTAACATTATTACATTACGTAAAAATAGGACATCAAGTGTATTAGTTTAGGCCAAGTATTTGGTGTGGGCCATGTAACCAATAAGCAGATCCTCCTTTCTTTTTTGGGAAGCTACTGCAGAGAGGATGGGATTTGGGGGTGGGAGCTTCTTTCATGCGGCAGTTTTTTCCTTATGCACACTATCAAGGTTTGACTCAACAATGTGTTGTAGCCCCTGGAGTTGCCACAGCATTTGCATTGCACCCACCTAACGAGATAACAAAAAATACTGAGCTTACAGAGTGGGTTTACATAAAGCATGCACATAATCTGATTAGGGAGCTCCATGTAAGGTGATCCAGGACAGAAAGGAACAACTGCTTCTTGATTGGTAAGCAAAGGAAGCGAGGCATGATAAGATTCATAAGCCCATCAACACTGAACTGAAGATGGAATGTGTGAGTTGGGATTGGAGAAAACCTGTAGGTGGCGAGTGAGACAGGACAAGTGTGTGTCAGTAAGAATTGAGGAGCAGCAAAATGCAGAGAGCTGCAAACTGCTGCCCCTATAAAGGACAGAAGAATCGATTATTGCTTTCCTTGCTACCTGCATTCTGTTCCCTGTGGTGTCCAGCATATATCTGTATTCTTTGATTTTTGTTCTTCTAATATGTAGAGAACTTGTAAACTTCTAGAACATGAACAACTATCTATATTACAAAAATGTCTGTAAATTAACAGCTATTACTGTTCATTATGTAATCTATTTTTTGGGTTGTGATACCCCAATTCTATTTATCCAGATCTAGCAAGAGTGCACTAGTGTCCCTAGGCCACTATTAATTTGTGCAAGACAACTTCAGTACTGTGTGGTTTGCTGTGGAAAGGCAGTAAGACGTTGCTGAAGCACACAGTTTAAGGTTATGCACTGCTGAGGAGCCAAAATACCAATGATTGTCAAATTCTTTAGTGTGTGGGGAGTCTGTAGGTGGACTGCCTCTCTCAGGGAGGGCTGATATAGCATGTGTGTAGTTGGACTTTTTTAACACCTGTAAGCAGTCCAAGCCAAAGGTTTCACATATTTTCATTCAAACATTAGTTGTTTTTTTTAACTTTTTGTTTTTTTTTGTGAGTTTTGCATGCACTGTATTTGTGCATGCAAAAGTATATGAAAACCATGAAATAAAAAATATCAAGATACAAGTTAGACATGTATATGTTACCATAAGCTGTGACGGGCCTAAACTCCCACATTCTTATGGATGGGACTTGGAGATGTCCTTTTGCTTGGTACGGACCTAGTTGGCCTGATTTTGCCCAAGTCCGCTCAAAACTGTGACTGCTTCTGGCCCAATCAGTGGCAGTTGGGGCATTCTCCGGCGTTTTGAGTGGGCTTTGGTGATCTCAGGCGACCTGGGTTTGCATCAAGCCCAGTTTTATCATTCATGTACAAGGCTGCACATCATTAATAAATTTGGCGCAAACCTATGAGACTGGCACTGGTTTACGAGACAAACTTTGGGACAGATATATGCACACTGATAAAGTACATAGATGTGTCGCATCTCTGTCCGAGCGTTGCATATGTATCCAACAAATTTCAGTTGGATCTTCATTTTCAAGAAATGTTGCACCAGAGGTATGTGTCGCATACTGCGACAGACATATACAGTATGAACATGGAACAGGCTAGTTAAACCAAAAAGTACTTGGTCTTACTTTGCATCACTTTTCTTATTACTGAACAGTCTGAGTTTATTTATTGAATTTGTTGCAAGCACAGCGACCAGAATGAGATATGGTGCAAATAAGAACTACTTGAATTTGGTGCAGGAGTCGGCAGAGGTCTGAAAAATGGCGCAGCATGTTTTTAGAATTTAACGCAGACACTTCTTAGGCTGCATTAGCACCTGAATTCAGGTGCTAAAGGCGATATTGGATTCCCTGTTGATGTGAAGGAAGAGTATATCCGAATCTCCTTTCATTCTCCAGCATTGCAGTGGAACCATAAAAAGGACATTCTGATTGCTACGAGAAAGAGGAACTGTTTTCCTTCCAGCGCATAAAGATTTGCTGTATTAACTGTTATGTGCTGCTTTATCTCCCATTTTTGTCTACATTAGGCTTCTCAGCAGCAGGTGAGAGATTTCTCACAGGATTACTGAGGAGGAATTCAGCTAGGTGTAAGAAAGAAAGATCTTCTCCAATGCAACATTTAATCTCAAACATTTCCATTTGAGATAAGCTCCTAAAATATAGTCATAGCTGAACTTTATTTGAACGTCCTCTCTGCCTTCACAGGTCCTTTAACACAGGCAATACCACCATATTCTGTAATATTTGGCAGAGTTTCCTGTCTACAGGGATCCCTTTTAAATGCCAAGATTCATAATTTTTGACTTGGCTGCGCTGTTTCTCCCTCGGAGACTAATATATGAGGACATTGGGCAGCAATTAATGAAGCCATTTAGTACACTAAGGCTCGGTTTTGGGCAGGTTTTACATTTTTATTCTAATTGGATGTTTATTTTGCCAGTAGACCAGACTTGCGAGTTTAAATATTAAGATAAATTAATGAGACAAAATGTCCAGTAGGTGGTAGATTACAGAACAGAAATTCACGGCTGTTGTTAATTGAGAAAAAGATGATCTACTGCAGGTAATGATGGGTTTTATAAATGGTATTATGTGGTGCAGGGTCAAAGCCTAGGAGATTTGCTTACCTCCCTTGGTTCTCGGCATTGATACAGAATATCTTTTATTTACAGGCACCAGCAATGGCTCTGTTTTTGTGTATAATCTGACCAGTGGGTTGCTGCACAAAGAGTTAAATATACATTCCTGCGAAGTCAGGTGAGTAATGAAGAGAGCGACAAAGTTTTCCTGTATCCACGAAAGTCACAATGGCTCTTGTAATGGCAGGGGGTACAAAAACAGGTTGCAGAAAATGAAATAGATATATTGATCAAAGTAATTTCTTCCCTGAGACTTTACAGGTGTTCTGAGGATATTGGAAATGCTATTGTAACACGCACACAGCCCATATGGAACATCTGTTACAGGAACATATTGTCTGTCCATTGCACCCATTACCCATAGCATTTTTCACACAGGCTTCTGTGCAAAGCATGAATGTCTCTAAGCCATACTTTGTGTTCCCACTGAGCTGCTTTGTTTCTTTTTTTCCTGTTCACATAGACAATGGCCAGGTCCTCCCTGTGACTGATGCTTAGATGAGAAGTGTTTTTTTGTGATAAAGACTGCTGACTTATTTTGGATGTCGCGAGGTCCAGGGCTCTCATCTTCTTGGCTTTACTGCTAGGTGAGTCAGTGACCAGGAATAAGTATGCAACGAGGAAAGTGTCAGGATTCCTGATCTGTATGCTTGTTCCAGGTCAGTAACTTGCCAAGTAGTAAAGCTAAGATGGCATCTTCATATTTCTGTCCTGACAAGCTTCTTTTAAAGGAAAAGTCCACTTTAATATAGCATATAAGGGGGTTATTCACAAATGGGTGAAGAGTTTGGAGAAGGCAGGAGAAGTGAACAATCTAGGACAACATAGCTGATTTAGAACAATTCTCCAACTCAGCTCACTTTCCAGTTCAGCTATGTTGTCCTAGATTGTTCACTTCTCCTGCCAGCTCCAAACTCTTCACCCTTTTGTGAATAACCCTGTATGATTGCTACACAAGCTATTTTGAAATGTAATGCTATTAAAAATGACCTTTCTGTACACCTTTTTTGGAGTATAGAATTCTCCCAGAAATTTAATTCCATGCTTGTGCGATTCCCAAACTGATTTTCTTAGACATCCACACTGAGATACAAGTACACTTTTAGGCTTCCCCTGCAATAGAAAGTTCATTTTTGGTGAGATTCTCACTAAAGGTTAACTACTTCTAAAGGGATGCAGACACTGCAGTTTTCCTCATTAGAACAATGAGAGTGCCCCAGATGGTTATAATGAACCAGACCCTTTCAGGAATTAGGCTGGAAAGGACATGGTGAAACAAACAGCAATTTCTTCACATCAAAAAAAGGTAGGAATCTGCAACAAGGTTTAACATCCTTGCAATGTACATTGTTTTCTTCAAAATGGAGGGTAGCTGGCCATACACTATGTGAATTTCAGCCGGGTCTTGATGAACTGGCCGAAATTCACACAGTGGGTGCTGCTGTTGGCACCCTTTTGAGTCTGCATCCCTCGATCAGCTGATCAAAGGTGCCAGTCAGAAAATCTTCTAATGAACACAGCGGGCAGCCAATGAGCTGTCTACTCTGATGGGGTACTCACAATGCAGGGAAGACAGCGGGAGATTCCTCAAACAACACTCGTAAGTGTTGATGGAAAAATCTGGAATATTTTCTTTGGTCAGCCCGAAGGAAATCTTACAGTGCATGGCCGGCTTATCACTTTAAACCTTAAATGATTAAATGCCTTCAGTGGTAGTAGCCATCAAATAATTTCTGTAAGCTCATTCAGCACAGTGTGAGACTGTATCCGTAGAGAATCTAGCAGAAGAGGGCCAGTTTATTAAAAAGTAGAGCTGAATCAAAAGCATTATTGTGTATTTCTGCTTTTCATCTACGTTTGCTTTCAGCACCACAGCATCCCTGCAAATAGTCCTCTGCCCCATTCCTGGCTTAGCAGCTGGAAATATATGGGAATCTCTGTGGCCGCTATCCTTGACACAGGCCCTCTGTCCAGCTTTTCCTGTGCCACTATGTGTAGCTGAACACCACATTTGACCTAGAAACCTCTTTTTCCTAGTTGCCAACTTAGCACTGTAGCGTAGTGAATGCTCAAAAGCATAAAATGTTTATCTTTAATAGATGCTATAACCTTCACTGATCAGTCAGATGGTTGCTGTGGTAATGCAAGTTACTCCATCTAAAGATGGGCTGCAGGGCATGCTTGACCCTTCTGGGGGAACCAGTGATATTACTGGAAAAATGGTGACTGCTAAGCACGGGCACTAGTCAGCTGTAAGAAGGAGCCAGTGTGCAGAATATTACATTTAAAACACACAGTAATCAAAATGCATAATTTCTTATATACCTTCAGGGCTCCATTGGCAAGATGGGACTGCCTTCGTTCCTTGAAGTTGTTGTTTACATCCAACTTTAAGTATCACCATGTCTTCTCCTGCATTCTTCATAATGTAAAATACATTAAAAATATAGCAGGGAGTGTGAGATTGCTTATATTGGCTTTGTCAGATGTGCCGACCTAGAATATAAGTGTAGGGATACACTGAAGCCCCTGAGAGTTAGGAGGAAACATTGCGGTTTCATTTTCCTGCATTTAGCAACATATAAAAAAGTTTTTACTGAAGCATCCTTATAACTGCAGTATGAGGAGATCTGACACCAATAGAAAATCATTGGTGTAACAAAGCCAACAATGTACCAATCAACACTCTCTAGTCTGCTAAACTATTTACTATTCTGGCTGAAATTGTGTTCCTGAACACTGTTGCTCTTTGCACTATCATAGTTAAAACAGAACCGGATTTTGAAAGTTAAGGCACTGCAAGGGTTAACTGCATTTTGTCTAGGGAGCGAAAATAAAGAAGAAATACTAAATCCCGCCTGACTGCTAGACCAGTCACTAGCAGCCAGGTCTAAGGACCTCCAGTAGTCTAAGGACCCATGACGTAATCATGTCTAATACATCCTCTTAGACGTAAAGACGATGAGAGACATACCACAGTCGGAGCTGAGGGAAGAGAGATGAGCGGTCACTGCCGAAGGACCGAGGGTCGGGTGAGTATTCCGTCTTTATTTTAGCTCGTAGACCAAAACGAGTAGTTAACCCTTGCAGTGTGGGGGTAGCCCCAGTGCCAGGGTCAACTTTTCTAAATCCTGGAGTTCTTCTTTAAATATACTGTCACGCAAGGAGTACAAACTTTGATTTACTTGAAAATGGCTTTTTGGTAATAATATTGTAGGTGAAGTGTCAATAAACGATGCAGTATTTTGAGTGGTCTTTACTTTACAACTACACAGTCATATATAGTGCTACCTTTCTGTCATTTCAGGGGCATTGAATGGACCAGCCTTACAAACTTCTTGTCTTTCGCCACCTCAACCCCAAACAATGTGGGCTTAGTGAGAAATGAGCTACAGTTGGTAGATCTGCTTACAGGTGAGCCTGGGAATGATGGAGAGTTCTCTGTGCTTGTTAGGGGGAACTCTGGAGCATGGATATATGGGTGTCACTGACTTTTCAAAGTCGCAGGCTTAAATACAATCTCTCTCATTCTTAAGTCACTGAAATGGAACAAAGCTTTCAGGATCGGAGTTCAGACTTTTCAGATTTCAGTCTACTGTGTCAAATGCGATTCTCGTTTAGCCTTTTTTTTTTTCTTGCTAAGTGCTGCAGCATGGGTTATCTTACCCTGTGATAGCAGCGCATTGTAGAGTTGGACTGTTGCACTCGCACACACTGCGGTGGCCAGGTTTTGAACCTTCAGATGCGCCCCACCTGAACACTGCTCCCAAGAAATACAGATAGGTTATTTAGGCTTTAAACCCATGGCAGTAAGCAATTAAAAATTAGCCCGTGTAGATAATTTTATATAGACTAGTATTTCTTCAACACAGGCTGTATTTTTTTTTTTTTTTATGTTATTCCAGAATTTGTTTAAATACAAAGGGGGTGATTGATCAAAATCTTGAGCAGATTTGCACTGCAGCCAATCAGCTTATATCTATCTGAGCAAACTAAAGAGAGATGCTGATTGGTTGCCATGGGCAACTGCTCCAGATTCTGTTTGCTCCAGTTTTGATAAATGCCCCCCCCCCATGTCTCATATACAATGAACAGCATGTATGCCAGCGATGTCACACACATAACATCATCTGCTTTTTTCAGAAGGTGGCTCTGGAAGGGTGACTTGGTTACTGATACAGACACTGGGCTTTCAGGGCCCTGTAACTGCACACCTAATCAAGTCTTGGCTTGTTCTCCACATTTGAAGTAATCTAGTTTCACACCGTGCTTGGCAGTAGACTCGGCTTTCACAATGTGAATTATTGAACAGAGGTGATATGAGACTGCTAGATTTATAATGCACAATTCTGAGAATGTAAAACTAGATTCCACTGTCCCCAGCTTTTTACATTTGAGTAACTGCTCCTGTATACCTCGGTTAAATGCTTATTAGCAGGGAATACAAGGGTTTCTTATTTTGCTGTATTGTGACATTTATTTCGCTCGTTACTGTTTAGTATTTGAATTTTGCTGCAGCTTCTTTTACATGTTTGTAATATAGCATGCATCAGCTTTAGGCTGCTATCAAATATTCTTGTATGTGAATTCCAGAACTGACAGATTGTTGTGTGTTTCTGGAGCCCTCCAGACTCTCATTGACAGTAGCTGCAGCACGACTTATTGCATAGTACACTCGGACTTTGCTTACAGTTCATTAGGCCAGGTCCTTTTAATGGCAGTACTGCAGCCCTCATCATCTTTAGTCACTCCATCTGTCAACACTCCCCATCTGCTGTGAATTGGCAGTTGGATGTGTCGCTCTCTACTTTACCAACACTAGGCAGAATTATTATTAAACACCTAAACCTGTAATGGTACATTATTCCACGATTCCTTAAGTCCATCTAAACTCTGCCTTTTATTTATTGCAAATGTTTACTAACCATGGTCAAGGTAAACTGCCCTGTTCATTTTGTGAATGCCTTTATCTACTCCAGGTAATAATTCAGGTAAATGTTTCTAAGTGGGTTGCAACTACAAAGTGAAGGGCTTGTGGATCATTTCTCATATGTGCAAGCTGCTGCTCATACTACATATCCCGACCAATGTGGGTGGATGTAACAATTCCGCAGAGCAAAAAGCTTTGTCACTTATTAAAGAAAATGGGACATTTAGAGGTATTTTATTAAAAAAAAAAAAAAGTTAGAGCAATTCATCCTGTGAAACTACATGTACTTTTATTCTGTGTGAATGAAGGTTAAAAACAAATATTAGTATATTTTCTTTCAAGGTTGAATACAATATCGGGAAAATATCTCATTATAGCCACTAGATGAAGCTGAGGAGCATAAGAAAAAAAGTATGTATTGTTCTCCTCGGCTCCATCTAGTGACCAGAATGCTGTATTTTTTTACTATTTGCTTCGATTTGGAAAGAAAATCGACTAATAATCTTCGTTTTTGCCCCCGCTCCCCAAGTTGTAAGGAGGATAGGTCTAGTAGATCCTATCAATGTTTGTAGAAACTGGTAAATATCTCCAGGTTGGAGTCTATACTTATCCTTAAAAATTTGGAATGCCTGTATCAGTAAAAAAAACATGTTTTGCCAACCAGTGTCTTGCAGCAAAGAAAAGCGAGTGGATTTACATTGCCCGGCAGAGACAAAGGGTTACCCAGAATAGGTATAAGAGGATTGTGAAGGGATACTACCTCATAGGATTTCAGGGTGTCCCCTAAAGGCGTAGAGTATTCGTGTAACCACACTACATTGCATTGGTGTCAGCCAGGGTGAATTTGTTATCAATATGGGACTGCTTAAGTACGCTGGCTCTGCATAATTCTTATAAATACAGTACACCCCTAAGTGTTCTGCTGGCCGGATCACCAGGTACAGACGCTGCAGGGGAGACTTTACAAAACAAACAGTACCATCCTAATGGCCTTTTAGGGCTAATGTTGTTGATGTGTCCTGCCATTTGAAAGTAAACCTCGTGGTCTCTGGAAGTGCTGCTTGGAACCATTTCTTCTGCTGTCTGTGATATTGTGGATTATTTGTGCAGATTGCTATCGGAGTGTTTGATGATAATACATACTGTGGGATCTTTGCCCTTCATAAAGGAAAACCTGGTGTATAGTTTCATGTGTTAACAAAGGACTATAAGAATAAATGTGATGTGGTATTTATGCTTAGTTAATGCAAAGTGCTTTGCAGGCTTCGTACAGTTTTCAGTACAATGGGTCTCTGGATTATGTCATTTTGCTTCCTTTTAGGCAGAAGTATGGCATTTAGAGGTGAGCGAGGCAATGATGAACAGCCCATGGAAATGATCAAAGTGTCTCATTTAAAGTAAGTTAAGTCTACCTGGATGCAGTAATGTCTTGCTCTTCTTGGCAGCATTAGAGGACAACAGATGTCTGGTTTACCTACTTGGCTAATGTTCTTTCATATTATTGCATTACTAATATTCCCACTTAAGCAGAGGAAGAGGAGAACTATACTTCTTTGTCATTATGTGACACCTGTCCATGTGTATTGCAGGCAATATCTTGTTCTGGTGTTTAAGGACAAGCCTATGGAATTATGGGATATCAGGACTTGTACACTTCTGCGTGAAATGTCAAAGATCTTCCCTACAGTAACCGCTTTGGTATGTCTGATGGACACATTCTAATACTTAAGATACTGAACTAGTTATGAGTATAACTGTGTTTTTTGTACTGCTTAAGCTTTCCCAGAAAGTGTCTACGACTCAGTCCAAACAGTTGTTCACATATGTTTTGGCCATTGTACCATTTTGTGTGATGCTTCAAAGAACCAGTAAAGACAACGTGGTGCATGCCGAAAGTTTGGCTGTGTGTAATCTGATGTTTTGTCTTCCTGATGTGCTTCTGTTCATTGACTACATCATTCCAAAAACCTGGAATCTAACTGCATCCATCCTCCTGTTGTTTTCTGTCTATCACGTGATGTCTAAGCAGACCACTGTGACATGTACGAGGTTATCACTACATTTTTATCAGTGTTCATACTTAAAGGGGGCCTATTATCAGATATATTTTTTCATGCTAATCACATGCATACTAAGGGTAACACATTTATTTATTACTTCTCACAGAGCTCAAAGTTCTCCCTCTGACAGGAAGTAAATACAGTGGTACCTCGGTTCACGAACGCTTCTGTTCGCAAAAAAATCGGTTTGCGGACAGGAAGTTCGGCAAAATTTTGCTTCTGCTCTGCTGCTGTGACGAACACAACCGCAGCCATCTTCCCTGCTCTGACACATGGTTGTGGCTTCCTCTAGTCGAGATCGTAGTCTGATTGATTCGGTTCGCGACCAGAATTGTGGAACGAATTAAGTTCGTGACCTGAGGTACCACTGTAATACTTTTAAACCTGCACCCAGTTACTCTACTGGAGCATGTAGAACAGAAATTCCCCACCCCGAATATCCCTCATATGCGTCTCCGGGGTCCTTCCCCCTGTTTATGTTGTCTGGGCAGTTTAAAGCTGATCGTTGCAATGGTTAAAGCCCAACTCCAGACATAAAACCTAGTGAAATGTCACTCTTCTATTTCTGTTTAGGGTGAGTGGAAGCATTTCCTCCATGATTCTGCTGCTGGTGATGTGTGACATGGTCCTAAAAGTACCTCTAAAGCAAACTCCCTGCTGAGGACTTCTTGAATTTGTTTCTACAGGGACATAGAGCGATGGGAAGTACAAAATGTTGTGGTTGTTACAGGAGCAGGAATAGAGAAGACCTGTTCTGGTGACAACTGTCTCTAAGAGGATTTTTCTTCATTTTGGAGAAAGTCCTCTCCACTTAATGGAAATCTTCACTATGGGACGCTGACCGAACCCGCCCCGCCTGCCGCCCTAGAAACAAGCGGTTTAATGCCTTTTTAGATGGACTTTTATATTGTCCATCATCATCAATCTAAACAACGAGTAACAACACCAGTTCTTTTCTGCAGTGGAATTTTCCATTATATGTAAAATGTCATGCCGTGTTCTGTTGCTGCATGACTGCACAGAGATTTTACTCTGGTCTCTGTGGCACTGTGGTAAAGGACATTGTGTTATACCAGTAACCCAGAATGTCTGGGCTGTTCAGACATTAGAAATGTAGTAACTCTGCCTCCTCCTTTCTGTCCCCCAGGAATGGTCCCCATCTCATAATCTGAAGAGCCTCCGCAAGAAGCAGGTGGCAGCTCGCGAGGCAATGGCACGTCAGACAGGGTCCTCAGACAGCGATCCAAACAGCGTCGAGTCTTCAGTCATCAGGTGAAACATCTGGCACTTCTTTAGAGGCATAGTAATAATTCATAACTCTCCCTTCATACTGTGCTGAACAGTTGTGAAATCAGGGAAACAAAACCAATCTCAAGTGCATGAAACTGAAAAATAAAAGCCTTCTCATCACTGTGATTTTATTATAAATACATAATGCAGGAAAGGGTTGTATACCAAGTTCAGAAATCATTTTTGAATTTACATTCTCCAAAAAAAAGGAGAGCATCTTTTTTTGATTACATAGCTCTCCGCACTTTTAAGTGTAACTACAGATAGCAACCAATCCCAGGCCAACGTTTAGCAGTGAAATTTATGTAATCAGACTGAGGACATATATTTTTTCACTGGTAGCTTCGGCAAAGCTTTGCTTTTGGCCTGGTTTACATACGGTCTGTTATTGTATACTACATTATGGCACCTCATTCAGTTTGAAGGTTAAAGCTAGGTTAAAACCACATCTGTCCCATTTTTTTGGGAACACAACATACTGTAGTGTAGGTGAATTGCTATCATGTGTTGGGGTGACAATAAAAATAAGTGGCACTACAGTGCAACAACTCGTGTAACATGCATTACTGCAATGTGATAGTGTCAACCTGGTTTGAAAGATGATGTGTTAGATGTTCATTGAAGAGCCCATGTCAATTCTGCTCCAACATCCCTATGTGAAGTGTGTAGAGATGTGCCCTGACCTAAAAATGTCACCTGATATGTAGGGCTGCAGCTAACGATTATTTTCATAATCGATTAGTTGGCCGATTATTAAGTTCGATTAATCGGTTAATCGGAACCCGAGTGTGAGTGTGTGGCTGCATGTGGAGCCCCGAACAGGCAAATCAATCGATAGCCGACGAATCGACGATCGAAAACATTGCCAACGTTTTCAATCGTCGATTTTAATCGACTAAATCGATTAACTGTTGCAGCTCTACTGATATGGCTGGAAATGGCCAGGAAAATTTGTAAGTCTGTGGGTCACTCTCAAGATTGCTCTTGGTGGGAGAATAGGTCATCTAGGCTAGATGATTATCATTCCACCGGGTTGAGGCTGGTGCAGAGGGTGTATGACCGGGACATAAGCATGCATTCTCAGTTGGTGCAGTCTGGCATATTTATGCTTCAGTCATTCTACAGAACTATTATATGGCTCTTGTAACTTCCATCTTAGGTCAATAACTAAATCAAGAGAGTACAGTTTTTATTTTATTTTTAGCAGCAAATGAATTTTACCGCAATGAAACCTTATTTCTAATTTGAAGTTATAGTGTATTTGAAATCGGTTAACTGATAAATCTGAGCTTTATTTGAATGATCAAGCTGAGAACTGTTTTGATAGTACTTTCTACGTTGCACTGCTCTTAGGCATAATTAAGTTGAAGTCTCTCACTTTACCTAGTCAGTAAGTATAATCTCTGCTTGTCTTGCCTGACAGAAGAAAAACCGTGATTATTTTACTACCGGGCAAGGGGAGATCTAAGTCATTGTTTATGAAAATGTAACTGTGTTATGATGTAATGTCACATAGTCATGTAGTTTATGTTTCTAGGTGCTATGAACTGATAAAACTCTGTTATGTTTAATATTGTTTATTAGGAATGCACCAATACCGTTTTTTCGGGATCGATCACTGATATTTTTTTCTGGTGTGTAACGACTCACTGCCCGACTTCCTGATTAGCCGAAAAGCTGGCTCCATGTGCCCTCATCGCCAAGTGACGAGGAAGCATGGAACCAGCTTTATGGTGAGGGGGGGGGGCGGGGGATGACTCCCCTTCCGGTTCCTGATTGGCCAGCTTCCTGACCAACAGGAAGCTTGGCGGTGAGTCATTACACACCGTCCGGCTTCCTGATTGGCCATGGAGCTGACTTTTCCGGTGTTTCCAGTATCAGATAAGTAATGGAGCAGTTGGGCGGGTACAAATACTCGCCCAAATACTCTGTATCGGCACTGATACTAGTATCGGTGCATCCCTATTGTTTGTGGAAATTAATACCCCCATTGTATGCCTATGTCAATGAAAAGTACTGCTAATATGATCAATGGTGTTTTAATGATCTGTGTCATTGCCCATCATTATTACTTTTATAACTGGAATATAATTTCTCAGCGGTAGATGTAGCACAGGGGCACGCATCCTTGGCATTCCAGCTGTTGTGGAACTACAAGCCCTATGAGGCATTGGAAGACTCTGACCACTACAGGCATAACTCGCAGAGGCATGATGAGTTTTGCCACAGCTGGAGTGCCAAGGTTGCTTACCCCTTATTGAAGACCTTTATAGCAAATTGTTAAAATCTGTGCCTGGCCATCCGTAGTTGCTGGCTGAAGGGAAATGATTGGTTGTAAAGTTATACTTTGCCTGTCTGCCTCATCAACTCAGCTATTTTATTCTGCTGAGTTGATGCTTTTCTCCGCCTCCAATTACTTTTCATGTTAGTGAAGGGAGACGGGTCCCTTTCTAATGCATGTATTAACCCGAAGAACTGATCATAAGAGTTGGTGGTTTGCTGCAATTTCAGTTCCTCACTTTATAGCCACTGGCTGTGTATTAATGGTGCACTAATGAGGCCATTAGAGAAGAAAGTGGTAAAGAGAATTGCTCAGTACCTGCTGCCAGCAGCTCACTGCATTTACCTGCTGCATTAGTCTGTTACAGGAGGCGGAATGCAAGTCGGAGCTGAGCCAGAATATCTCTGCGCGGGAGCACTTTGTGTTCACAGACACAGATGGGCAGGTTTATCACCTTACTGTGGAAGGAAACAGTGTGAAAGACAGCGCCAGGATCCCCCCGGATGTGAGTTCATCATATTGCTTTTGTACTGGGGCAGTTTTAGCCTCCGGCATGTGAGAGGATGATGTCATTTAGAAGCACAGAAAATTAAACCTACTGATTGCTGGCAAAGCTCATTGCATCTGCTGGCCTGTGGGAACCATTCTGATTGTACAGCTTAAGTCTGTAATACACATTCTGGTATTTTGCTGGAGACAACTGAGCAGTGTATAGTTTACTTCCTAGGCAATACTCCTAATACACAGTATTTTTATTTTAATGCCCGTAGACTCCCCAGTGCTATGTCAAAATCCACTGATTATTCACATTACTCTGAACAAGCTTGTATATTCTATTTCAGCACATGTTGCAGATGCCGAAACTAAGGCCATCCAGAGATATAATACCTTCCAGCATGGGGGCAACTGACACATAGGCAGCCATCCATATTTGCAAGGCCCTCATGTCCTCTTTATTAGTGTTCCGTTCAGGTTACCATGGTAGGCAAAATATGTAAACCCATTTACGCACTCCCAGTGACCCAGAGCAAGGCAGAATTCTCATTCAGTGACCAGATGCTCAATCCTAAACTGCTTCACTAGCTATCACAGAGCAGTCAGTTAAGGAAGGGAATGGGTTCGTTATTTTGGGTTCAGGTTAAAGATTTGTTTTTAGGTCTCGTTTAAATATTTTGTATGTGTTTTGCTGGTGTACATATAGTAAAGTACAATCCAGGCTGAGGTTTATGTTCTGTGTAGTTGCTAGTAAGCTGAAACGCATAGTGGCAGGATGGAGAGCGCTACGATCCTTAAAGGAAGCTGAGCTCTCCTCCCACACCTCCCAGCTCGGCCTCCTGTATCAGAATGGAGAACAGTGATTGGAGGAGCTCTTTAATGTCACAGGAGGCGGCGCTCTCTTCCTGCACCGTCCTGCTCGGCTTCCTGTGACAGCGAATTCAGGATGGAGAGTGCTGAGTAGAAACATTCAACGATCAGCTGATCGCTGAATGTTTGTTAATAGCTGAACATAGTGTTAGTTATGAATGGGAAGTGATCTACATCACTTCCTGTGCATTCATGATTGTGGACATAGTAACTTACACTATAGCCACAATTTATGAATGAACAGGAACACCCAGTATAGAGGCTTGCTTGTCATTTATAACAGGGGCTACAGAAAAAGAGATTGAGGACTCTGTGTCCTCAATCTATTTTTCTATTTTAAAAGGGAAATATCAGGGGTCTGTTTAGACTCCCTGATCTTTTCCTAGAGCCCCCAGCAGTAAAAATTTATTTTAAAAAGGCTGGGAAAGAAATGTAATTTTTGGTTTCAGGCCTGACAAACTTTTTAGTTTCAAAATTCCATTTTGGTGCATACCTAACCGTAGCAGTTAACAAAAATGTATCTTCTTTGTGTATCTCTCAGCTGTAGATCCTCAAATCATCTCTGAATTTGTCCTGAAACTGTCCTTCCTTCTGGAGGGAGGCTACTTTTGCTCCCCATGGCCCCTTTCTGTGTTGTAAAGTAGCCACCGCTCCAAGCTCACTCCCATGATAGTCTACAATTTCAGTATAAATGAGTAAACTAAACATGAGATTGTAGCAGTGACTACTTTACAACACAAACAGGGGCCATGGGGAACAAAAGTAGCCAAGAAAGAGGACAGTGTCAGCATGAATTCAGAGATGTTTTGAGGATCTACAGCCGAGTGATACACAAATAAGATACATTTCTGTTAATAGTTATGGTACCTGAATGCGTTTTTAACCCACCAACAGAACCCTTTCTCTTCCCAGAATGCCTCAGTTTTTTCTAGTGACCTAGGAGGACGGACATCTTTTCTTCAGCTCTGCTTTTATTGCCATTTTTTTTTTCATTCAATCAAGATTCCTACTAAACCACAACTTGAGCTGGTCTGTAGATGGCGGCAATCTTTACCTTGATTTCAGAGTGCCGTACCCGGACCCTGCTGAACCAGACGCTCAGGGCTAGCCTGCAACGTTACTGTACTAAGTAAATGTTAAGCTGCAGAGCTACCTCATTATGTAGAACGCTGATGCGCCTTTGAATTCTCCATTGGATTTACTGCAGAAGGGATTAATGCTGAGGCACTGAGCGCTGACATCCTCGACTTTGTGCTCTATTTCCCGCCATTCAGCGTTGAGGAAGCGCATCACTGCTACTGCTCCTGTCTGTAAGGGCCATGTGGCACTCCAGTCCTCGGTCCATTCCCACTGCCCACCTACAGTTATTTGTACGCCCTGCCAGGGATAATATATTTATACATTGTGCCAAGCTGGACCAATGTAAGTATGTATGTATATGTGTATATAAACATTTCCATTTACCATCTGTTGGTATCTGAAAAAATAACTGCCACATACGGAGTGCATTGTTTTCCATAAGTCAGGAGGTTCACACTTGCGAGGTGAGAAAGAGCAGCGAAGCACAGCTATTGTGTATTACTGCAAAGTAGGGGAAAGAGCCTGCATATGTAATGAGCAAATACTGTATATCTACACCGATGTAAATATATAATTGCTAAATATACATTGAAACTAGGTTTTTAAATATAATACATGTGAGAACAAGGGTTTTAAACATTAACACGCATTAAGATTATTTACATCAAACTGATGTCTTTTGCATGTTAGTATTACATGTTAAACATTGAAAAGACTACATTTCCTTGAAGCCCCACCTACACAATATTTACCATGTGTGAATTAAGAGCAAACAAACAAATGTCTGCTTTAACATGTACAAATATGTCTGATGTTAGAAACACAGTTGGTAGAGTTTCTAGTCCAGTTTTCTGTGCTAACCGGAGTGCGAGCTGGCTGTTTCCATGGGATGGATTGGAAGTACTTTACTAGTTATGGTGGTTTCGTTTTTTTCTTCATTAACCAGATTAGAAGAAGCTGAACCTGATGGACTTTAATTTAATTTAACTTTATATATTGCCCTGTGCTTCATTCTTATGTTTTTTTTTTTGTTTTTTTTATTCCATTTTTTTGGAACAAATTTAAAATGTTCTAGCTTCTAGCTAGTGATTACCATGTCATCAAGGGATGTACCTTAATGTTTCTGTCAGTAACTTATTCTTCACTGTCCTTGGCTACATGCAGCTCCTTGTCTGTAATATGCTGCTATTGCTACTTCTCTTCCCATAATGTAGCAATTGGTGAGATTACTTGCAACGGTAATGTCTTCTTTAGAGCATCCTGAATCATACATTGTTGAGCAGATATTGACACTTTTATGGCATGAATGTGCTGTAATCACGGCCATATATTGTGGTAACGTTATATCTTTAGGGTCAGCAGCACATTAGCCAAGTGTGAAGATTCAGTCTAATAGCGCTCATGGGAATGCAGCAGACTATAGCAAGACCTCAAAACTTCCCTAACTTCTCTGTCTGCATTAATATTGATAGTCATGATTTCAAACTTTTGCTGTTCATATTTAGGAGGCTTAGTATTGTGAAGCATAAACCATTACTGCTAACATAGCATCAGATGTATTTTGCATGTTTAAATTCATGCATGCTAAGTATGTGGAAGTGCAATGCTTTTACATATTTATTACCACAGTTCTCCCCCCGACAATGTCTTCGTCTTCCTTTTCCACTCAGAAGGACAGAACCATCTGTGTTCATGACATCAATGTCAGCATCTATTTGCTGGACTAAAAAACAGGTCCATAGATGACACATCCTATATGTAGATGTGACAAATATGTGCAAAGTTATGGTATTGCAGTGTAATCACTGGGGGAGAGAAGACTAAAAGTTTTCTTCTGCCTGCAGCAGACCCACACAACTGGAATTAGTATCTTGGGGACGTGGCATACCCATAAGTAACTTTACAAGTCTACATAAATAAATTACAGACATACATTTATAATATATA